CTCAATAATTTTAGACAACCCCAAATACTACCACTACAGTATAAGCGACACCTCCGGATATGATTCTGTCGGAGATCATGTTCAACTACTAGGACCGTCTTGAAGGTACGCTCCACGTTTGAAAGCGCCTAGTTTGGCATGGCAGTCTTGTCCGCGAAATCGGAAGATGTACTATTCTCGCGGTTCAAAAATACCTGAGGAAAGCGCAACCCGTTCGCTAGAAGACCACCAATAAGTGAAAACTCGTCCGACCACACCTTTTCTCCGCCTTGTGCGCGACTCAGCAAGGAGTTCTATATGAGCAGTTCAGGCAGGATTTGAGTGTTTTCTCTCCACTTTTGATTTATTTCCCACCTTGTCATTAGTGTGTGAGCAAATCACTATTTTTGAATACGGGGCGTACTAAGGGCACGGTCCGCAATCAGTATAGAAGTTGAAAATATGATGTCGGGGGCGTAGTGTGGTCCGCGACGGCACTTTGTACCGGTTTTGCAGCAAAAAATTGGAGGGGCGCTTTAACGCAATAAAGGCTCAGCGACGCCTCCTTCGTCCCAGTGACTCCGCATCCAGACACTGCATTCAAGGCCCACTGGAAAATGAAGCTGCAGGACGAAAAAGCATGAAAATCGTCACTTGTACGGTCGTAGAGTTCTTATCGGGGAATCAGCTGTGCGGATGAGGGCGTAGTTTTGAGATGGAGCTAATTGGGCAGGTTAAAACTGGGGATGGGGTTCATCTAGGCAGTTGGCATGTTCTATCTGCTTTTCTTCACTATCGAGTTATCCAGAAGCTTGTAGTCTATATGCGAACTTCTGCTCCACTACTTGTGATGGCGAGTGATCGTGGACTTTCCCTTTAGAGCGACCATTACTTTCTTCGTAGTTCAGCAGTCCGGAAGTGGGGAGCTAGCTCTTTTCGAAGTGTGTTGGGGTTGTTTTGCATTCGTCTCAATTCAAGAAACATCTTCATTGCGGAATCGCTGTGAAAGTGGGTTTGCATATCAAAGTTTTCAAGCTTCGAACAAACACAGCTTCCTCTAGGCACGACTTCTCGCAAAACTAAAACCAGGTAGCCAGGTCAGGAAAGTGAAAGATTCTCCTTTTCTGGGTATTACCTCACTTACTTCGCTGGATTTTTTGTTCATTCGATGCACTCTAGGTGCACAAAGAAGAGAACCAAGGTAGGGAACTGGGTTAGTAACAAATAAACCAAGGTCCAACTATTAAAAACTACAATATGGAGAAAAACAAAAAAAAACATCCGACACACATAAACCCCAACCGCTCGCCTATCCTAGCGGCAAAAAGTAAACGTAGAACTGGAAAGCAGCTAGGACTAGAAATCAGCTAAGCAGCAACAGCAGCGGATTATTGGGTAAAGGACAACATATTATTGTAGTTATGGAATTTTTAGGAATTCTGTGCCACTGAAACAGTCCATTCGTCCTCTAGGGTACATCATCGATGGGTAAGAAGAACGGGGTGGGTGAGATGGGAGTGGGCGAGGTAGTATTTTCCTAGTGACTTTCCTAAAATATATCCTGCACTCGACAGCTGGATTAGAGTAGGGAATTAGGGGGCGTGGGGGGGCGTTGTACGGACTCCACCGAAAACCATGTTGTAAAACGGGTACTGCATTTTACCGCATCTCTGCAAGCGAACTCCTTTAAGGGGTGTGCTTTTAGAGCTTATAAACTCAAAATCCCTGAGGTCGGGTAGGCGTGGCTGCGTACTTGATTTTAAATGGCGGCGGCCCAGGTTTTCGTGAGATATTGTCATTTGGAGCAGTCGTAATCATGTCTACATCTAACACAGAACAAGATAGCAGTTGTTTCAAATTGAAGTATCCCACGAGAAACCGTGTATGTCTACTTGTTTTTTTAAGAAAAATATTACTTCTTCTCTCTTCTTACTGAGTCGTCAAGGTGTCGAAACGACGTCTCCACTGCCGCGAAAATTTGGGAGAAATTGAGGAATTGGGCTGGGAAGTCCTGCCTCATCCGCCATACAGCCCAGACCTGGCACCATCCGATTACCATCTGTTCCGGTCGATGCAGCACTCCCTGGCCGAGAGAAAGTTCACAAACCGCGAAGAAGTCCAACTCTGGGTGTCCAACTACTTTGAGTCGCAGCCGGCCGAGTTCTTCGAAAGAGGAATCCATTTGTTGGGATTTCCAAAATGATGGGGTTACCTCTTCCAATATCCCTGGTAGCAGAACTCATTAGACCGAAAACAAGGGGCCCACGATGCCCTTAAAGGCAGTTGGCACGATAAATCGCTATACAGGTGTAGGATTTGTACAACTGGCTTAACAGAATTCCGTGACCTCGGACAGGCGCTGCGTGAAGCCTTTTCCAAGGAGGGTACCTCTATAACGCCCTATTGAGCAACAACTTTACGTCCCAAACGCCTTCCTTGCCCGCCCGCCCACAAACGGACGACCGTTTCTGACGCTCGTATTCATTCATTTGCTGAGCAAATTATGAAGCAAAGGGATTGGTATGAAGCGGCGGTGATGCTGCATGCATATATGGGTACACATATGCAGCCGTATCTTCGGTAGCGGTGATTGGCAAGATGCGTACGGGAAACTCGTCCGAAATCGATTTACAAGTCACTGAGAACGGAGGCTTTTTCTTCGCAGGATTTTGACCGTTTCACTCCGTTCTTTCGCCATTTCCCCACTATACAGCGCCCTACTAGCATTTTAGGCTAAGTAGGAAACCATCGTGCCAACTGGCTACTTACCAGCTGGCTTCGCCGGCTGACGCCTGCGCGCCTTTTTCTGAGATACAGCACGGCTTCGCCGGGCGGGCGCGGCTCCACCGCGCTTATCTTTTTCCACACATTTCAATACCCGCCTAGTATTCGGCTTTTCTTTCATCTGAACGGATGATCAACATTATTTCACCAATAGCACCATACCTGCTATTTTCAACACTATTACGGTGCATGAAATGGTGGAAAGGAGCGTTGATCAAGTGGACAGATGAGAGGAAAGCCGGGTATTTGTCCAGCATTTGACCGAATGCAGTAGGCGCGACGGAGCCACGCCCCGCAAGGCCGGGCTGTATCACAGAGGAGGTCTGGAGTGCCTGGAGTGCTCTGGAACCGCTTGAGGAATTTCTAACACTGGCCCCGCTCTCCTCAACGCACGTTCCGTCCACAACGTACGCGCTTCTCAACTGATCCTCGCTGACTTCAAACTACTTTTTCCCGGTGTCTGGAGTGCTCTGGAAGCGTTTTGCGAATTTTTTAAATTTGGCTCCACCCACCTCGGGGCACGCCCCGCCCACAACGTATGCCTCGCGCTTCTCAACTGATAACCCCTCGCTGACTTCAAACTACTTTTTCCCGGTGTCTGGAGTGCTTTGGAACCATTTTGCGAATTCTTTCCGAATTTGGCTCCGCCCACCTCGGTGCAGGCTCCGCCCACAACGGGAGTGCCTCGCACATTCTTACATTTGATCACTTGGGGACCATAATCCACTTTTTGGCACCATCTGCAGTGATTTAGGACCAAACTACGACTTTTTACTGTTCCTCGTGCTCAAATGCACGCCCCGCCCACTGTGGGCGGGCCTCAGCACGCCGCAAACATGGTGGACTCTTGCAAGATATTCTTCTTCGTCATGGACTTTTCTGCGCTCCCTAAACATTTTCGGGGACCGAGTTACCGACCTTTGTGGGAAGCGCCGCCCATCTCAAGTACGCCCCGCCCATTTCGGGTGTCTCTCCTCCATTTGGTGTGCCAACCCAGTGCTAACCTAATTCCACTTTTTCCAGTCTCCGAGCTGCTTCGTAGCCAAGTTATGGTGATTTTTCAGTGACACGGGAAGCGCCGCCCATCTCAAGTACGCCCCGCCCATTTCGGTGTGTCTCCTCTGTTTGGTCAGTCAGGCCTTTGTTAACCTTACTGCACTGTTTCCTCATCTCGGGACTGCTCTGGAACCGAGTTATGACTTTTTTCAGTGACATCGCTAACTTTTGACGCACGCCCCGCCCACTGTGGGCGGGGCTTACCATGGGCCAGCCTCGCCTACCGCATCTCAGGGGTTTCAAGTGTACTAATGGTGAGTTTTTTGAAGGGAAAATCGTAGAAACCGCGCCGAACAACTCTGTACAAGTTTCGCGTTAGAAAGTTGTAAGGTAGTGGGGATAAGGCACATTGTTGTACAGGGGACTCCGCTGAATGGGTAATCCGGCTGCGTTGCTAGCTTTGTTATCGGTTGTCTTACCGCTTGCGTGCTCTCTCGCTTCTGTTCCCTCTGTTCCCTGACTTCTGTCCCGGAAACTACATGGGTTTGTCTCTCGCTCACCAGAAGGAAAGCCTGATTTCGACCGTTTCCTTTGATTTTTTCATTCACGAGCGAGTCAGTTGGCCACATTCTTCAGATATCAACCCAATCCCGAATTTCTCACCTGCTCATGGCAAATTCCGCCTTTAGATCTGTGAAGAGGACGAAAGCGTTGGAAAGTCAGGCCGAATGATCCCACTAGTGGAGCTTTTCGACAAAATACAGAAAACACAACTGACTGTTCGAAATAGCTCGCGTACACGCCACTCTCACAAAGGAAAATTCAATCTCTGGATACCAAGTTATCATTCTTGCCGTTAAAATAAACTGCTATTTAGGAATGGAATCTTTGGTTCGGGAAAAGCTCAGAAGTGCGCTCGTCACTTATGAGTGGTCATGTGTCAGTGTGTAATGCCTCACCGGACACGCCCACACACACGGTCACCACTAAATTCCTCGTTTTTTTCGTCACATTGGGTTCTATCATTTCATGGAACTGCCGCTACGGTAGCGCGCTTTCTCGTGTGCCCTGTGTATTTACGACCGTGTGCGGCACAGTATTACAAATCGTTTAGCTAATTCTTTAAGCTTAATGAATGCTTTACCTTGTTCTCTCCGATAATATGTGTAAATGAGAAATGGTGGTCTGTTCAGCTTTTTCTACAGTACTCTTTTAGGAGTCCTGGGTGATCAGAGTTAGCCATGGCTGGCAATTTTTGGCAGAGTTCACACTACGACCAGTGGATATTCGAGAAGCAGGAACTGCTCAGAATGCGCAGCGAAGATCTGAAGGTGAGTATTCTTAAGGAGGGAATTATCGTAGTTTGAGCTGTAGCAAAAGCAAAAACAAGAAACTGTTTCCTTTGCTTCAACGATCGAAGAAGTAGAAAATATCGGGTATCAAACTTGCGAGAGATTTTAAGAACATTGCTCTGAATTTCTTTCATTATTACACAGCCGGACTGCGAGAAGTTGCAGCCCACACAGTCGGTTTTTTCTTTTGTTGTTGCTGTTGTAATTTTTTTGATTTATCCTTAGCAATCACTCCCATTACTTTTCATCAATACTGAACCGTAGTTCCGTTTTTGATATGTTCGCGACCGCTAATTTCTAAAACTAAAATATCTGGCTTCAAGTTCTATACACTTGCGCTTTTATTTAGGATCCTTTTCAGCAGAGCACTTGGTCCATCATCCAAATCGTAGCGATAGGCTCAGAGTAATCTACAGTCTCGTTCAATGCGGATGAAGGGCGTGTCCAGATGCAACCTTCATCCCGCATCTTAATGCGGTATTTGTCACCGCTCTAAACTCATCCGCGTGAGGAAATGCCCCTTCATCCGCAGCAAACAAGACTCTACTCGGAACCAGACCATATAAACGTATGTCTTCACAATAAGGCCGCCTTCATACTTTGCGTCAGTGTACGGCACCGTTTCGAGGCTACGCCAGCGAGCAGGAAGGCATGGATATCATCTAGGGAATGGCAATGACTAGAAAGTCCAGCGAACACCATCGTTTTCGCGAGCAATTTGAGCTTGAGCAAAACTGCCCGCGAAAGCGCTGCTGTACGCTGCCATACGCTGGTGGACGCTGGTGTTCTCTAGATCGATATCTACGCTTTCCTTGTTGCTGGCGTACGCTAGAAACGAAATGCTTGTGCAGGGTTATGAACGCAGCCTTAGTGTCGTCAGTTCACTCAGCCCAATGACAGCCGCTTTTCATGAGATGGATCTTTGATCAGTCTCAGCCATACACGTTCCTTATTTTGAAAGGTTTATGGAATATTGCAGAATCTAAGCTCTACGAACTGCGAGTGACCCCTTACTTTTACCCTCTCTACATCAGTTAATCCACAGTGCTTGAACACTTCTGCCTTGTTTCTCTGTAAAATGCAGTGCTCGTGAGGAAATAAAGGGTAACTACCGTTCATGAAGTGGTCCCTATCATCAGCATGTTTACTTCGCAACTGAAAGATTGCGATATGTTCTCAAAGAGGTTCTGTGACAGTTCTCTTCAAAACTGGAAGTGATCAGTCTTTTCTTGGAGCCCCCTATTCTGTCAGTTTCTTCGCCCACCCAGGATAATGATCAAGCGTCAAGTTAATCTCGAATTCACGAGTAGGAGCATCACAGTAAAAAAAAATTGAAAGGTGGTGGGTAACACATCACGGAGAAAACTGCGACTGAGCAAAAATGAAGTGAACTTTCGTGATGGATAGTTTGCCGAAGATAACTCAAAAATGTCTGCAGTAAAAACAAGAGGAAAAATTCAAACCTTTGATGTCGATTCGACATACTTACACTCTAAACCGGTTGTGGTTATAGAAGCCACTAGTGGAACCTTTCCAAGCAGAAGATATACCAGAAATATATTGCTAAAAGAACTTTCAACTTTGTTCAAAGAAATTTCTAGTACTGAGACAGGCTTGTCGTTTTTGGAGGAAATTCTCGAGAAGCTGTCCTTGGCTTCCTTTTCGCAGAATATACCCTTGGTTGGTAAGGTTTACCTCTTATACCTGGTTCATAATCATGCCACGAAACAGCTACTATGTGAATAAATTACCAGGCTGGGTCCCTATAATGCAGTAGCTTTTGCAGTTTGGAAGTTTGCTCGTGAGAAATGGTAATAAGATATTGCAGATTTATACCGAAGAGGAGTACCAGAAGTTAATGATATTCTGGGCAAATCTCATACAGACCCTTGCCGTTGAAGGCATACAGCAAGGCCATCCGAAAACACGAATGCAGGTTCTATTGCGAAACTTGAACTATTTCTTTATGCTTCTTTGCACTTCTGTCTGTAATCGTCGGTACTGCTTCAGGTAATTGCAACTGCAATCGTTTATTTCAAACGTTTCTATGCTCGACGCTCTTATAAAGATGTTGATCCACTTCTTATTGCTTGTGCTTCCGTGTTCCTTGCGTCAAAGGTTGGTTTATATTCATGACGGACCTTGGTAACTAGGTCTGTCACTAATTTCTCTCACCAGGAAAGGTCAACAGGTCAGCCTGGCCATTTGCAATGAGATGCACATCGTTGTACCCGTCTTGAGACGGTGAACTCAAAACTATCTTCAAAATTTGCGGAACGATTCTCTGAGCGGAGTTAGAGAGTTTTTCTTCTTACGGGCGCGCTGGCGCCGAAGCGTTGGCACATGTAGCGCGACTCACAGCGCTCTTCGCGCAAAACAGGTATCATATTCGTGTTCAGGGGGTCAAATAACCCCTAGGGACGTCACCTTAGCAAAATCTGAGGTTCTGACTCAACTTCGAAAAAATGGGGTATGGATATAGTCATGGCTGACTGATAGCTAACAGCGATACTATGACTAGCATACTGGTAATGGCTGGTCGCATACTGGTAATGGCTGGTCTTCGAGCTGTACACTCGAGATCCCTGAGATCGGGTAGGCGTGGCCGCATGTTTCAACTTACCCTTAAGGCGTCTACGCTTCTGATGCGATATTTTCATCTCGACACAATCGTTGTCGTGTCTCTGTCCAACAGAGAACAAGATGACCGTTGTCCCAGACTGGAATATTCCACTATTAACCAGTTCCGGCGCTGTTTGTCGACGGGGGGGGGCATTTTTTTACTACCATTGCTTCCCTAGTTCCGGTTTACAAATCTCACCCTGGTAAAACTTGTGAACCCTTGTGAAGCTGGTGCAGGATCGTCTAGCCACCATCCTAAAACGTGTCAACTCGAGAAAAGGCTACCTAGATGGGTCGGCACATCTATGGAAAGCAGAATGCCCCCCCCCCCGTCGACAAACTGCGCCACCAGTTCCTTACAGTGTTCGAATGCTCCGCCTACCCGATGTCAGGGATTTCGAGTATTAACTCTTCAGTCATGTCTTTTCGCAAACAACAGTACCTGGCTTACTTATTTGTGCCGTCTGCATCATTTTCTTGACTATCGGGAGGAAATCCCATTCCGAGACCAGTCATCGATGGTAGGTGAGCTCCAATCTGCTGCTAATTACCCATGGAATAGCCCACATTTTCCAAGTGAGGTCGAAAAATCAGATTCGGCTAGAAACTTGTCCCCAGGGGTAATTTAACCCGCTGAACATGAATATGATGGTATTTCATTGCAAAAACCCTTGTGACACGTGTTACGAGGGGTACAAGCAGAAGCACTCTTCAGGCCACAATGGGTCTACACTTTCAAAAAAAACTGATCGCAGGTTCCCTTATAGGGTAGTGCAGGCGAGCAGAGATGTTAGAAGCTTTGTCGGCTATGTTCTTGGACAAATGCAAAAAAGATCTGCCCCGGAACCGATCCTACGACGTCTCGCCTAAGAAACCCGCTCCCTACCCGTTGCGCTCTACTACCACGTTTCAGCATGACTCCATACATAAATGTAAAGACGCTTCCACGTTTCCTCGCGATAGCATGTGAAACGACCACGCGGGGATAAGACCCTCCAACTCCGTTCAGAGAATCGTTCCGCAAATTCTGAAGGTAGATTTGAGTTCACTGTCCCAAGACGCGTACAACGGTGTGCAGCTCATTGGAAATGGCCAGGCTGACCTGTTGACCTTTCCTGGTCAGAAATACTTATCGCTTAATTTTAGGTTGAGGAACACGGTCTTATGTCCATGTCCAATCTCATCAAAACAATCCCCAATTGTCTGAAAAAATGGCCTAACCTTACATACGATGCATCGTCGAAAAATAGTGGTCTATATGATGCTGAGTTCATATTGGTCGAAATGCTCGACTGCTGTCTTGTAGTTTACCATCCGTATCGCCCTCTCACTACAATGCTGCAGGTTAGAACAAACTTTGGCATTATTTCCCCTTGTGGTGGGAGGGGGGAGGAGGGATTGTCACTTCTATAAATTTGTGCAAAAGAACCTAATAACAGTACGTACGAGATGGTACGCAGCGTAACCACTTTCATCTTGAGTGGTTACATGACAGTGGCAATAATAAATTGTGGTTTGATGCTGACCAATACCTCCAGAGTCCGTTGTGCATTTAGCTTTCAGTTCTAACCCACATGCATCTGAGGGTAAGCTTGAGTTGCAAAAGAACTTCTTAGGGCGTCAAGCTTTGTTTGGAATTTGATTACTCCGGGGGGAAAACTTTGTTGACGTGGAAGAAGCACGATTTCTCTATTGTAAGTTGTGATACGGCCATTCCTATCTTCATGGTCATTCCATTCTATGGCTGTGCATCGCACAGCAGATCGAATGCTTCACTACGATAACTTCTTCGGGTTACCTGGCTTGTTCCCTCACATTGCGACCTCCCATGAAATGAATTTGCTTTCAATGCGCGCCTTCTCCATGTCGGATGGTGGGCCTAGACCTAGCATAGATTTTCGATCAGTTCTATTAGTTTCGGGCTCCTAGCTAATCACGGACCACTCTGACCCAACAAAAACATCTCCTGTTTGCAGTGATATAACTGCTCAGTGCTACGTGGTTAATCAACATTAAAATGGTATTATTTGGCAGCGTCATATCGTTTGTACCTTTGAACCTAATTACCCCAAAGTGCTCCTTCCTAGGGGAAATAGCGCCTCAGTTCTTATACGTTGTGTTTTTACATTCTCCTTTTCTCAGTGTACACCACTATTTTTCGGGGCTACCGGTTGATCTTTCAAGTGATTTCATGTAGAATAATATTATCTTTGTCGTATTACATTTCCATTTTTCAAAGCCATCGTTCAAGGACAGGTCGGAACATTCATCGAGTCAGGATTTTTGAAATATTTAGGTTTCTAATCCCAAAGGATGACGTAATGTTAGCGTGACTGCACCGGTTTCGCAAATAAAAATTGTATGAGCGGCAGTTTCAAAACCTCACTCACCTGTTCCATAAAACGTGCAATTGTTCGCAGACTTGCTTAGCTGTGGTTAAGCGAAGAACGTTGATATAGTGCCTCTGAGAACTATACGCTATTGCTGAAACAGCGCATGATACATAGTAGCTTGGTGTGAAACTAAACGGAAATTGAATATTTGATTTTAGAAGTCCTGCGTCGCCAATACCAAGCTCTCAGTCATTTGAGGCGAACAAGTTTCCCTCGTTTATGTGTTTTTTACTTGTATCAATTTTCACTTTGACAAAATACTGCTTTCTTCAAGCTGAACCCTGTAGTCTCAAATAGTGTTTTGGAAGCTCTTAAAATTTTGTTGGTGAGCTTTCGGCAATGATACCCTTGCCAGGCCTTGAATTACTTGAAGCATAACTAGGATACGCAGCTACGGCAAATGCTTAACATTCATAATCCAGCTATGATGTGAAATATACCTGTCGGCGCGGTTTTTGGGACAGGAAAAGACCGCTTATTAATAGGGAGGAATACTGATGATCGCACAATCGACCTCAGAAAACGATGCAGTTCTACACTGGCATTAGCTTCTGGTTTTATGTTGTGCCGCCCCTGCATTTCCTTCCTCTCTAGGAATGATATATCTGTGCAGAACGCTCATATTGTAATGTCAGTTCTTTCAGTTTTAATATTTTGGACCATGGATTGGGATAAATTTCAAGGCTACTCTCTGTCAAAAGAAAAGCAATCAGGGCAACGAATTTTTATTCTCTTACCCCACTGAGTGAACCTCCCTCGTACGGTTTTCCACATTTTCACGCACATGCGCCATTTTCCAGAAGTTGTACAGTTCAGAAGTTAAAAAGAGACCGAAAACACCTCATCAACTTCGGAACATAAAATGACACTTTGATGGAATTCGAATTCTTTCCCATGTTAACAGCTGCATATTTTGAAATGGTTTTCATTTGGTGTATAACTGCTCGTTAAGTTTCAGTTTTGACCTACAAACTGAAAATTCCTAACCTCATTCACTTTTCCTACCATTCTCATACTTCACACTATGACCTCTGCCAAAATAGTTTCCTCCTTCTTATGTGACCCTTGACTGGGTGTTAGCGAAGCACACAAATGTGTAAGAAAAGCCATGAGCTTCCTGTGTCAATCGGCATCAAGAGTGGTGCATTGTGTTCATTAGGAAAAACAAGGCATATATCTTAATGGTTTTCCTTCAGCTTCTGTGGAACTTCTACGTCTTACTGAAGAAGTTGAATGGAATCCGTTCAACCGCTAGTACATGCACTTACTCTTCATCATTTCTTCCTACTTTTCCTCTTTCATTTCAACATTTCTTAAGCACACCCTTATTGGTTCCTTTGAATGTAATGTACGGCAGTAACAGACTTCAAGGCATCAGATCCTAGAAATAATTAGATGAGTTTTTTGTATTTTCAGGATATTGCTCGAGATCCTACAGTGAAGGACGTAGCTCCTTTCGAAGAGCAGTGTTGGAAGGTGGGTGTTTGTTCTTGTAGGAAATCAACAGATTGAGCAGTAGATCTCTAGGCTTTCAGTTTTTTATTGTAAAGATCCATTTGCAGGTAGCTAATGACTCATTGCGCAGTGATTGTTCCTTACTTTATCCTCCTCACATTATCGCCATTGCCTCCATCATTGTAGGAGCTGAGTTGATGAATCGCGAAAAGGACATAAAGGTCGGTGTTTTCCATCCCTTTCGGAACGGACTAGAGGTTTTATGCTCACATAATTTCGGGCTCACGATGTTTCTGTTTTCACACTTGAAGTCAGATGGATTAGACACTTCCATCACCCTTATATTATTTTAGCTGAAAACATATTATAGCTTGTTCCTAGCGAAGTAAACAGTGCGCTTAGAAGAACATAGTCTTCAACGCTGATGTCGCGGTCACATTCGTAAAGAGGAATAAGCGTAAAGATGGCATGAAATAGAAAGTTGCGCACGTATAGCAATAGGTGTATCTTCTTAAGGCTGCGTTCACACTTTGTGTCAAAATACGCCAGCTTTTTGAGCTTGTGCCAGCGTACGTCAGCGCACAGCAGCGTCTCGAGTGACCAGAAAAGAATAGATAGCAGCCTACGTCCATAGTGTGTATTGGAAAAATAGGAGTGTAGGAGACGATTGCATTAGGCACCATGAAATCGCTACGTGTGCAAGCACCATACAACTGTACTACACTGTACATCAAGTCTGCATAGTTCTGTGCTTTAGCAGCTGTACTGTGCGGTTGCACACGCCGCAATTACACGGCGCCTAATCCAGCAGTGCCCTCCAACTTCCACATACTCTGCACTCCTATACGCTGGTATACGCGAGCGCACGCCAGGGGCCGTATGCTATACTTCCCCTCGAGGGGAAGATATCCCCCAGTAAACCTCCGCTGTCTGCCGTTATCTCTATCAATGCCCATCGTCTCTCTGCTTCAGCCTCTCTGCATCTCTGTTCCCCCAGTCACCCGGAATCTCCCCCAACGGCATGTGTTGGGGGAGAGGGGAAGAGATCGATTATTCTCTGCGCTGTACTATATTCGCTCAGAGCGTGCGCCAGAAGAGTATGGATGCAGAGCGGCGAGAGCCAGAGAGACGAGAGGCATCAGCAGAGATAAGGGCAGAGAGTGGAGATTTACTAGGGGATATCGTCCCTCGAGGGGAAGTATAGCATACGGCCCCTGATCGATATCTTCACTTTCCTAGTCGTTGGCGTACGCTGAGCCTTAGGCTGCGCTCATACCTTGCGTCAGCGTACGCCAGCCACTTGAAAGATATGGAGGTCGATCTAGCGAACGGCAGTTTATGCCAGCGCACAATCGTGTTTCGAGCGGTGGGAGAATATAGCGACCTAGCGTCCAGCAGCGTTTTCGCGGGCAGTTTTGCTCGAGCTCACATTGCTCGCAAAAAAGCTGGCTAATGCTGGCATTTGCTAAATTGATATTTATACTTTTCTAGTCGCGCACCCGCGCTCGGAACGCAGGCATGCGCTGCCGCAAGTATGAATGCAGCCTCATTGCTGCCTTTGTCGACAGTTTCCGAGGGACGAGGTTTTTCGTGCGAGCTTTGGAACAGCACTAATAAAGGCTGCCGCTTGATCATAAATTGAGAGGCTGGTCCATCCATTCAACCGCGTGAGTTGGCAGCACCCTTGATCGAAGCAATGAAAATAATTGATTTGTCAGTTTCCTCTATGTACAATGCAACATTTTTTTTGTTGACAAGTCTGGCTATTTAGATGTGGCTACCAGAGTTGTCTGTTGACTTCGAGAAAGTATACGACTGCGTCAATACGATATTCGCTATGTACAAAACCTGGAAAACTTTCGACGAAAAAGAGCATGTGAAGCCGCTCTTTGACAAATTGCCGAAGATTAATCCTGGACCGTCGTTTTGAGACTTCTGAATTGGTCCTTCTTTTCATTACCGGTGACAAGAAACCACAGCTATTAAACTAGGAACTAAAACCGAACAACTGCCGGACGCAAACGTTCCACTTTTTCAGATCATATAGATCTCAAAATGTATGCGTCGATCATTGGGTATTATTGGAGCAATTTGTGATAAGATGGTCATCGGTTTTACATGTTGGAATCGTGATTCAGTGTATTCGACACCTGCGCTTTTATCGAACAGTCACCCCGCATTCCACAGGAGACATCTGTCGCGCTAATGGCACTTTTTGGAAACCGTGAATGAGGAGTTCTTCAAAAATATCGTATATTGAGAGCGATTTTCAATATGTAAAACAGCTCAGTTTATTGTTCAGTGATACTTCCATCGGTAACAAGCAGAGGGAGAGCGGCTCTTGTAAACGTTCTAAAAGATAGGGCTCCCCAATTTCCTGTTCTCACTCTTGCTTGATAAATGTGCGTGTACTAGAACTAGAGCAAAGTCAGTGTACTGCCCGCATTCGAAGGATGAGGTAGTCTTTTCTACTAAAAATGTAAAACATGGTCATCAAAGCTCGAATAATAAATAAAGCCAGTTTGGAACGGAAGCAGTTTCCAGTATCTTGCAATATCGGATTTCGTGTATGCCCTGCTTTCATCTTTTCGCATTTCTTGGACTCGTGTATACCACATTCGGAAAGTACGAACGCAAACTAACATATTCTTCGTCTTCTCACGGGTACCTTTACGTGTTGTCAGGTACTTGTACACGAATGGCAATAGATACTTATAGACAATGTTTGTAATAATTTTCTATGTTTTTGATGACTATTGCTCAGGAATTAGACTTTATGAGTTTATGTTTGTGGAATAAATATGCATCATTTTGTGATCTCTATAACCCTATGTGTCTTCGACTTTATACCGGCACCAGTTGTTTCGGAAGTACAACTGACTTTTGCTCTGCTGTGGTCCGCTAAGCTGCGTTCGTATCTTGCAGCATTGGAGAACTGGGACTACTCGCTTCATATAGAAAATTAGAGAATTTGTGGAAAGGAATATATGTATAGATCGGGGGATTTGGATACCCCTAGGAAATGAGTACGTGTCCACTGATCTGAGGCAGTGTTCAGACTTGTCGCGCTGCAGTTGCCGCGCTTCATCGTACCAGACCCCAGCTTCCCTTTATGTTCTTTCTTCCGGTATTCAATCCCTTTTTCACTGTTTCTCATTTCTACCTGATTCTTAGCTCCTCTTTTTCACTTTAACATTGAATTTTAATGTAGTTTTTGATACAGGACACTGTGATAATGATTTTGTATACCGTTTTCGACTTTAATTATTCAGTCTCAGGGTTGCTATTGATGTTTGATGTCTTGCAGTGGTGCATCATGTTGATCCCGATTACGAGTTTTCGTTCTGTTCAATGTTCTGTTCTGTTTAAATTTTTGAAAAAGACGAGCTAATATCAGGTAGAAATGAGAAACAGTGAAAAAGGAATTGAATACCGGAAGAAAGAACATAAAGGGAAGCTGGGGTCTGGTACAATTGAAGCGCGACAATTGCAGCGCGACAATTGCAGCGCGGCAATTGCAGCGCGAAAAGTCTAAACGCTGCAGTGTCGTCGATTCTTGGCGAATCTCTGGTTTTCTATTTCTCCAGATCGATTGGCATACTTTTCCTTCGCAGATCCTCCGATTTTCCAGTGTCGCTATGTATGAACAGTGCCGTAGTGCAATAACAGTTTCGTAATGTTTTCGGTTTCAAACGTTGTTATATCGTCAGGAATTCGTCAAAAATTGTCTTTCATCTTGTATTCTTTTCTTGAAACATGCCGCTTTACTCTCTCGATCATTGAGGAATAGCGGTATTGTTCATGGGGCACTTGGTAGATCACAAGAAAATAGGTGGGATAGTAGAACAAGTGACATAGCGATGCTCCCAATTGCGTTAGGCTTTATTTATGAATGGTACACTTGTGGTATCACTAATAGCTCCTGAAAAGGCTTACATAGGAATAAGTTCTTTCAACTTTTGAAAACCCATTGTCTTAGTGACAGTAACCTAATTGATGGTTCTTCTGTCAAGGATCCTATGTGAAGAGTTGTTTCTCTCAGCAATTGACGAATATAGGTGGTCTGCATACCTTGCAACTCTGGAGGGTAGAAGAGTAAAGTGGAAAAAAAGTACACGTACCGATCTTGGACTCGAGGGAACACTCGGGAATTCGAGCTTTTCTGGGAGCCGCAGAAAGGGTGAGGTTGGTGATGCAGTCCATTTTGAGCCTTGACTTTTTTATAGATTTTGCACAGGAAACATCATCAGCGTCTTTAATTACGTAGTATCGCCGCCTCGAGAGGAAAGACTCGGTACAACTCCCGTGCACTTAATGCGTGAACTTCGCTTCCTTTGCTATCACTGAAGTTCAGGATTTCGCCGTGTTCAAGAGCTGTCTGGACGTTATGTCGCTCTTTTTAAATAAATCGCACACACCCCTTACACTGGGCAGTCGATTAACTAGACCGTACTGGTGCGAGCCCTGCCCCTGCACTCCCGCCTATTTTCACCGCGATCGTAGTTTTTCAAAACGTTCTATGAAATCTGCTCCTTTGACTTTGTTTTTCTTTTGCTATATCGCCCAAACATCAGCAAATGATAATCGACACAGACTGGACCCTGCTCACCTTTAATGCAGTTGGATTTTTGGACTTTAACACCTTTCTTCGATGTCATTCTTTTGCTTCTCTACGAAACAAATGCACTCATAGATATGCATCTATACACTGGCACATTGACCTTGCCTTTTTAGGCAGGATGAGGTGACTCTGCCCACTTTTAGAAGTTCGCCCACTTGATAGTACAGTTGAGCGCTCACCGGACGGTGGGGCGTTCCCTACGACCACGCTGGCGAGCGTTCCGGTGATTGCGTGTCGATGGGAAGCCGAAAACTTTCAGGAGATTATCATCATTGCCTCTCCGTCTCTTACTCTGCACTCTGCGCTCTAACACACGCCGCCGCACCGTCTACCCACTCTTCCGCTCTGGACTCTTACCGATCGATAATTCTCTCGATCAGCTGATTCCTGCCGCATTTTCGCAGTATTTTTGCTAGATTCAGCTTGTT